GTGCATAATCTACCATTCATGTTTAATCATCATTGACTTTTAAATATAAGTAATACACATGAATGGTGGATGATTACTGATTGTGTATAAAACTTTTCACTGACAGTACATAGATATTACACTTCATGTAAAAATGTAGGTTAAGATTTGGATTTTTCTCCCTCAAAATTCAGAAGCACAAATCAACAGCTAATTACAAGCTTTTAACTGAAAACGTGGAAGTTCTGATCATATTCTTTACCATGTCAAGTGACCAAGAACGACCATGATGGCTTAAAATTGTATAACAATTAACATAAATCACTAAACAATGCAGAGCTTAGCAAGCTACAGATTGTTCATCTATATCATTTCTTCGACTAAAAAATTGACTTAAAGCAGTTTTGACATAAGAAAAGTCTTAATATGACATGGATCCCAAATTAAACCACCCGGAAATTTAAACAAACCATAAAGAAAGAAAATGAGGTTCCATTTTCTAAATTACCTCTTTGATATAAGGCTTTGACCAGCGATCCCACATATCTGGCGGTAGTTGCCCGCCCCATGAATCAAATATTTGTATGCAGTCAGCCCCGGATTCTACTTGGAAAACAATGTAATCTGCTATCGCCTGCGTCAAATGAGAAAGCAGAGTCTTCAATACATGTGGTGCTGTATGGCACATGCTCTTAATGGTTGTATATGTGCATGTTGTACCCCCTTCCACTATATATGTTGCTATTGTCCAAGGTGCTCCTACAAAACCCAAAACAGCGGCTTGACCACCAACCTGAATAAATAGATAAAGTTAGGAAAATGAGCTTAGAAAAATATCCATGATATAAATCTCAAATGTGGTGATGCAATTAAATTTACCTCCTTGCGCAGTATCTTAAGCGATTCTCCAACAAACCTAAGCTTATCCAGATCAATTGGATGCAAAGACTTCAATCCCTCCTCAGAGCGTATAGGTGACTGTATAACAGGTCCCCTTACGTCTTCTATGTCAAAATCAATACCGAGTGCAGGTAGAGGCGTAAGGATGTCAGAGAAAATAATTACTCCATCAGGCCTGAAAGCTTTCCAAGGCTGCAAAGAAATTTCCACAATGAGATCGGTTATCTCTGACCTCTCTCGGAAGGATGGATATTTCTCAGCAAGCTTTTTGTAAGCAGCCATGTACCTTCCTGCCTGGCGCATCATCCATGCCGGAGGCCGACTAACAGGATCTCCCCTGGCAGCCTTAACCAAGAGGGGATCTGAAATAATAAATAAAATAAAGGAAAACACGGTATATGAGACAGCAAAGAATGAAAGCATAAGATATTACAAAGATAATGAAGGGAGAGAAGTGTTCATAGCATTCCCTTCAATTGCATTTTGAATGTTATTAGTCAATTTTGAAGAATTTGCAAATGTATGAAACTAAAGGCCTGTTAGTTTAGAATTCTCAAAAATAGAGAGCATCGATTCAGCTTCTCCTAAAAAGCCGAATTTCAGCTTTTTTCAAATAAATGTTTTAAGTCAATCCCAAGCAAGCATGTAAACATCAAAAGTTATTTTATATATTTTATTCTACCAACAAAGAATTTTTTTAAATAATAAAGCTAAACAAACGCAACACGAGTTAAATGGTTTCAAGGCACACACAAAGAGATACCTTCAAAGGAACATTTTTTTCAACATTCCTCGAATCAAATTCAATAATCACTTCAAAATAATTCATTTCACATCTAAACTATAATATCCTTGCATGGTATTTGCAACATATAAGTAAGAAACAAGGATGAAAACTAAAATTCAGACTCATACAAGAATGAAGTTTTAGAGTATATCTAAAGAGCCCACAAATGTTATAAACTATACCAACTTACCCATAGATAAAGCAACACCATTTTCCACTTAAAATCATACCCAAATGAAAATAAATAAATAAAGAAGACAAATTGAGCATAAAATCAAACTTATCACATAGATAAAGCAACACCATTTTCCACTTAAAATCATACCCAAATGAAAATAAATAAATAAAGAAGACAAATTGAGCATAAAATCAAACTTATCACATAGATAAAGCAACACCATTTTCCACTTAAAATCATACCCAAATGAAAATAAATAAATAAAAAAGACAAATTGAGCATAAAATCAATAGAAAACGCAAAAAAAAAGGAGAATACGAACCAGATGAGGAAGTGGCAGAGCAAGTGATGGAGAATTTGGAAAGATGTGGTTTTGGTTTGAAATGAGGGGAAATTACATTGAAGGAAGCAACACCAGGTTGTAGAAACAATGAGCTGGGAAGAGCACTGCAGAAAAAGAAGAACAAATACAGAAAATGAGAATGAGAAAGAATTGAAGAAGTGGGGTTAGGAGAAGAGAGAGAAAGATGTTACCTTGTGGTGATGGTGGTGTTAATGGAAGGAATCATTTTTGTTTGATTAGATGAAGAGATAGTGAGTTTCTTTTATTTTCCTTATCCCTCTCTCTCTCTCTCTCTCACAACATAACTTGTTCTCTTCTCTCCCTCCACATGTTACAACACCTCTCATGTACAACTTCAAGCCTTCATCAAATGGGTGGGCCTCAATAAACTCGTAAAACTAGAGATGATAAAATTATCCACAATTCATAATATATTTACATTCAAAAAATAAATTTATTCTTTAGAGATAATGGATGTAAAAGAATATAATTCAATGAATAATTTTAGTAGTAAGTGAATTTGAATTCATTTATTATATCTAATGAATATATATTCAATCTAAATTGATATCAATTATAGAACATGTGAATGTGATTAATTTTAAAAGTTTTTCTTAAATATATAATCGTTAAAAAAACTAAACCTATAACCTTAAACGTCACATGTATAAAAGTTCAGAAAGTTAAATTTTTAAAGGATTTTTTTAATATAAAAACATTTTTTTATGAAGAAAATGGTTTTTAAAATTGTTTTCTAAAAAATGTGAAGTTAAAAGTGTTTTTTAAAAAGTGATTTTAAAATTGTTTTATTGAAATAGTGGTTTTTTTAAAAAATAATTTTCTTCCAAAGTTATTTTAGATCCAATTAAAAAATCAATTGTATTGCATATTCATTCATCCATTCCATTAAAATTGATTCATGGATCGATTAGGTGGATTGAAATTCATCCGTTAATTTTAGATATGGATGAATTAGATAATTTAAAATGTAATTTAAATGAATTTATATGGATTAATGAATGATTTTTCACTCATCCAAATTCATCCATATCTATCCATTTGTCACTCATACAAAACAAAACCTTGGTATCATGTGCATGAGTAGCTTAGTATCACATCAAATCAGACAATTAATAAGGTTGTGCATTTCTGTGATTCAACCTCATCATTCACTTGTGTGGATCTTGAGCTCAAAAATTGAAAGCAGCAAATTAATTGGACAATACAACTATAGAAATTTCCCAACTCTTAATAGCCCTTGATTCAACTAATTCCTAGCACTCATGTAAACCTGATAAGAATGGGAAAAAATCAGTTTAATTTTATTATTGTACTAAAGCTTACATATATAACTCTTCAAATAACAGTTTACCATTGATACTGCTTCTAATATTAATTGTGAGTAAATTATCAAATTAGTCTATCAAAGATACTGTGTTGGACATATTAGTGATTGGGTAATGAAAATTACTTCAAAGGTCCCTGAATGTGCATTCAGTGGTTCAAACTAGTCCCTAAATTTATTTGAAATAAGCACATTCAAAGACTTTGGAAAGTGATTTTCATTATACAGGGACTAATATGATTGATGTTGTACCTTTCATGGATTAATTTCACCATTTATTAAATGTTTGGTAATACTTAATTTTTGAAAAACTAATCTTGAGTACTAATTTTCACTAGGATGTGATTTTTTCTTTCTCCAAAGCTCTCTAGGAGCTTTTGACTATAAGCTGTTTTGAATATCAAAATAAGCTAAACCAAATACACAACTCTATTATCAAGAAGCTGGCAAAAGGGTGCCAACAATTCTAGGTTGGAAGATAGTGACTTATTGCAAAGCAACTTCCTAAAGTAGAAGCAATGAAGTGCTTAGTAAAAAAAAGTGCTTGATGCCTATTGCTGCAAGAAATTCCCACTAACAAATACAACTTCAATCCTTGCAAACAAATCTACTTGAATTCAACCCTGAATTAGCATAATAGCTAATTGTTAGTTTCTATGCTAACCAAGTTCAATCTTAAGATGCAATAATGAGCATGCTTACACATTTTAAAATCTTCATGTCTGAGGAATAGGATCTCATACAGAAAATGCTTTATTGTTGTGAATACTTGAAATATGTTATTACATTAGTCTTACATCACCTAGTATTGGAACAGAGTAAAGTAACAAATGTTATATATTGGACTCGGTTCCCTTGTTGTAATGTGCACAAGATATCAACACCAAATAGAAACACTCAATGAGCACTTTGGCTCATGTGTGTGATAGAGTTTGTAATCCTTATTCTCTAATAATATATTGGTAGTCGTCAGCGCTACCGGGGACGTAAGCATAATTGGCCGAATCTCGTTACCAAATTCTTTGTTTCTTCTCTTCTATTTATTCTATACACTTTATTTGATTGTTTGTGACCAACATTGCGCAACGATCGCTTCCGTTGCACCAACATTTATACATTTCAATACTTGGAGTGAGGCAAGAGATCAATGCCAACCTACCTCTGATTTCAAAACTAGGACCATATCATATAAATTCACTAACAGACCAACATTAAGGTAGTTGCTTAGTGATTATAAGGTCAATGGTTCAAATCTTGAAAACAGCCTCTCTGCTCGCGGTGTAAAGCTGCGTACATCTACCCTCCCTATACCCCACTAAGTGTGAACCTTGTGCACTGCGCCGCCATTTTTTTTATCCAGTTAGGTAAGTCACATTGTCATGACTGCCCAAATGGGTAAAGAACTCTTTATAATGACCGAGAAACTTCATCTATAGCTTTTGTGATGAAATGTAGCATAACCCTTATTCTAAGTATCCTATCAAAGTCTACCTCAATTCAATGATGGGTCACTCACAGATGTTACATGCATCACACTCCATGCTTCATATATTTATTCCTAGGTGTGAGGGTTGTGTTATGTCCCATCTTGGATGGATATATGTGTAAATAACCTTCAATATAATCCCCCCTAACCATAGTCATCAAATATCTGGCACGGGCTTAGGTATTTGTCCGTTCTTTTTAACATTATTATTACAAGACTTCCTTTAGATGACTCTAGTACATGGTACACTGAATTCGTTACATGATACGTGGTTAATGATAGAATCTGCCGATCTGGTGACTATGCCTTGTGAACCCTTTATAATGACCTGCATTGTGTTTTTTCAGGTGGAGTTAATTCTAGTTATTTTGATACTACAAACATGTAATATAGAGATATATTTTGCCACAAAATCAACTCTATATGTGAGATGATGATAGTAAATTAACAATGCCAGAACGTTTCAAGCTTAATGCAAATGAAGATTCAACAATAATAACCAACCATTTACCCCATTAGGTCGGGTCGGCTAGGAAAAACGTCATAATGCTCTATCATAAAGTTCATTGATAGAGCATTGAATGCAAATGAAGATTACCATACTAATTATAGAAAGAAAGAAAAATGGCAGCAATGTGCATTATAAATCACATAAAAGGAATCATGATCAAGTCATAAAATAGGTTTCCTCAATCTCAGCACACTCACTTATGAATATATTCTCCAACCCAAAACAAATCAATTCATCATCACAACATAAATTAAACATTTGCTTAAATTGCACTTAACAACAACCACCATTATCGTTCAAAACCAAATATCCAATAATGTCATATGAGTCATGAAAACAAACCTTAACACAATCAGATTCACTGAGACAATGTCCCTTTCAAGACTTGGACATTGTTCCTCACCACCCCTATTTTTCTTCTCATGTCTCTTAAAATTAAAAATCACAAACCCAAATCAATCAACAATAACCAAACATTAACCCCAACAAGCGGGGATAAACCCAAATCAATTAAAATAAAAAAAAAACAAATTTTGACAATTAAAATGGAGAAAAGGCGTTACCTTTTTCAGAGAAAGGAACAAACTTGTCTTCAATTGAAAAAAAGATGTTTTAGCGAAAACCCATGTTGTTTTTTTAGGGGTTTACACGATGGGTAATTTTGCCAATGAAAATTTCAACCCGGCCCAAATTATAATCACTACTGAACCTGTGATAGAATAAGAGATTCGGTTACTCTCTCGCCCCTCAATTGTGTTATTATAGAGAGAGAAAGAGAAAGAAAGATTAGTAGAAGAAGAAGAAGAATCAGAAAATGGCAGGAGTGGGACCCATATCACAGGACTGGGAGACGGTGGTTATAAGGAAGAAGGCACCGAACGCTGCGGCGAAGAAAGATGAGAAGGCTGTGAACGCTGCTCGTCGTTCTGGCGCTGAGATTGAAACTGTCAAAAAATGTAAACTTTTTGATTCATTCTTAAGGAAAAAAAAGTGATATTTTTTTGTGTTTTTCTGTGTCATGAAGTTTTTTTATTTATGATTAGATTGGAATAGGTCCCTGAATAAAAAAAATTAAAATTTTGGAACAAAAGGATGATGGGGTAATCATGTATGAAATTTTAGACTATGATTGTGAAATATTTATGTTTTGTTCATCTGATTATTGTATTTATGTGTTATTATGATCACACTGTCAGTGGATTGAGTTTTGTTAATGGCTATATAGTATTTGATGCTTCAAAATTGTTGTCATTTGGTGTTGAATACAGTTTTGATACTTTTAGATACTTTTCGTCTATAGATATGTTATTTTATGAAATTTTCTGTATCAACTTATATGTATAGTGTCATATCTGATATCTTTATGCTGTATTTATAGATGTGCTTCCTAGGTTGATGGATTGTGTTGAGTGGTGATTGTGATGACTGAAAATGATAGTTGCTTGTGAATTGTGATGTTTTTATTTGGTCTCTGATGCTGGTGGTATTTGCTGGTTTGCTTATATAGTATGAGTGATGTTTGCTCTAGATAACTCACTATTACAAATGATGGTGTCAAATTTGAGTTATGTGAAGAAAATATCATGTGATTGTGACATTTCCTATTTTTTATTATCAATTGAGTTCATGTTACTTTTAAGAATATGTTCTGCAATGAAATTTTGATGTGTAATTGTCTGTTAGTAGTGTTTTTTGTTAGTTAGTAACTTGTGCCTCTGAAGATTTCTTTTATTTATTTGTTTCATCTTTGAGTTTAAGTGTTCTTCATACACTAATTGTAATTGGTTATCTTTGAGTTTGAGTTTGGTTAAGTGTCCTCTTTATTTGTTAGTTAGTAGCTGTACATTTGTACATAGACCAGAACACGTAGATGTCTTCATTTCATTGAAAAAGGTATATGCATTTCTATCAAGTTGATGTATGGATACTGCTCACTAAATAAGTTTGTAAAAATGGATACCTGAATGTCATAGATTACCAGCTAACCTTAAATTTTGTATTCTCCGCAGCAACTGCCGGGACAAACAGAGCGGCCTCTAGCAGCACTACTTTGAACACAAGGAAGCTTGATGAAGAAACTGAGAATCTTCACCGTAAGTACATCGTTTTTGTATCCCTTTTGTATTGTCCCCATCTTGCTCCTTTATTGTAGTACAAATGCAGATAATTTTTTTAAGAAGTAGCTGCTTGATGGTTTTGTTTCTCTGCAATTTCCAGCTATGTCAAGAGATGTTGTTTAGAGCAAAAAGTCTATTATTGATGCTGGTATTTTTTGAATCGGGTCGGGAGTTTACATACATGCTTCTCTATTATGCTTTTCTGAAGCAGTTCACTTATGATTTAAGTATCTATTATCCTATTATCAAACTAGCCACTTGAAAAACATTCCTGTTCCCTCTACTTGCCCTTCACATATGCTTTAACTTCTAAAACTGAATGGTGCATCGCTGGCATCATCTAGTAAAAATTCCCATACTAATTAAGCTGAATAATTAGTCAAACATTTACTTGTCATTGACATTGTTAGCTAAGTATGAATAATGACCCATTATTTGCAAGCTAAAATGACAAAGAAGTGACTTGTATCTTAGTCTTAATGAAAAGATGCTCCTGAAATGATGGTATGTTGTGTCGACAGTGTTGATATTTTGTACTAGTGGTAACACCTTTGGATCTGATAATGCCTCATCTTCGATTTTCAATATGAGTGTAAGACCTATGTTTGTGGTCTTTTTGGTATAACTACTGTAACTACCATGAACATAAGTCACACTTTCAGCTAAAGAACTTCAGAACTATTTTATTTCATATCTATTTCTTCCTGCATTCCCCATCATTTCCAGCATGTATATATATTGATCTGATTATTTATCATGCCACTGTTGTGTTTGAAGAGTCGGCCGTGATTGAAAAAGTAGTTCAACATAACCTGAAATGTAAATGAAACTACGGAAATATGTTTTTCTGATGATTCCGATGTGTTTTTTTTTATGTTTCTTTCAACTGGTTTCAATGACAAAATTGATGTTGGGACAACTAAGATTGTTTGGGCAATGAATAGCAAGTGGCACTGTAAATAATTAAAATGGGTTGCTGCCATCTTTTTTGGTTGTTTAGATTTCTTAGAAATGAAGGTAGGAAGAGCACCTATTGACTAAAAGATGGTAGTAATAGCCCAAAGTTAGAGGTAGACTAAAACATTTTAAAGGACTTGGAATTAAGTGGAGTTCCTAAGGACATGACTTAAGACCAAACAAAATGACATTATGTAGTTCATTAGCTGACCTCATCTAGTGAGAAAAGGCTTTGGTTATTGTTTGTGTTGTTGTTCGTGTTGCTACCAATTTTCTGTACTGCGTCAAGAATATATTCCTCTAGTAAAGCAGAAAACAGCAATGCAGAGAATTAGTAAAATAAACAGATGCAATGAGATCAAAATAAATATAAAGAAATGATCACTAGAGATAATGAACAATCCTTCCCTAACTCCAATTCAATTCTCTAGCGACCTTCTCTCGATCTTGGTCTTCCTAAGTCTTTTACCCGGTGATTCTTGAATCCTCCTCTCTGCTTCCCTTTACCAGCACTCCATTCTGTTATGACTTTCCATCACCCCCATTGATTCCTTACTCATTAAAAAGTCCCTCCTTTCACTTCTATCATTTTCTTCTAGAACCACGGATGTGTATCAAAGTATAAAACATAACATTCACTCCATGTATACTACTTGCTGTATATTAATAGCAGAACTGATTTTTGCTCCTTCAGTTGATAGTCTATGCAATTATTTATGCATATACTTTAAGTGAAGAATCTTTAGAGCATCCGGGATATATTGTAGATATAATTTATTTCCCATTTCAATATCTGCAACTCCTGATTCCTTGCTTTTTTCAGTTAATTTTTATATATGGTGGTACCATTTTATGTATAATCTAATGATCTTGAATTCCTGTGGGGGTTCTAACTGTGCTCGCAGATGAAAGGGTACCAACTGAGTTGAAGAAAGCCATAATGCAGGCTAGGCTGGAGAAAAAACTCACTCAGGCTCAACTGGCTCAGGTCTCTTCTCTACAGAAACCAATTTGATTCTTGGTTCAATTTTTCTTTTTAATCAATGTGGGCTATAAGAGATTGATCACTTTTCTTATCTGCAGATAATTAATGAAAAGCCTCAGATTATACAGGAGTATGAATCTGGAAAAGCCATTCCAAATCAACAAATAATTGGAAAACTTGAGAGAGCTCTTGGTGCGAAACTGCGCGGAAAGAAATGAAATATGGATGCAAATAATGACTTTGAATGATAATGTTTGTTTCTGTCTTGCAACTGGTTTAGTACATGAACTTTTCTACTATTACCATCTTTACATGTAATGTTCTCATCAGCATCTATCATGATCCACTGAGTTGTGACTATTGTAAAGTCATCTTTGCAATGTTGTTTTATCAAACTGGAGTTTGAAATTATCAGATAATTGTGTTTGATGGGAGTGTGGCTTTTATGTACCAAATCTGAAGTGTGCCTTACTTATTATTACTTTGTGTTTTTAAGCAATGTTATTCTTCTTTTATAATCATTGGTCATGCACCCGCAAAAGTCTTTTAATGAATGATTATGGAGTGATGATTTTATCCCTCTTTTCACACCCCTTTTTACATTTACTTAATAATTATTGATCATTTGTTCCCAAAAGTATATGAAAAAAGATACATTAAAATAAAATAGGGACCATCAATGACTGATAAAGATATAGTATCAAATACAATCTTAGTCTATACATATTAACATATGCTGCACTCTCTTTTCATTTTATTATTATTATTTATTATCAAAGACTTATGTTATATATACGTCTTTTTACATTTTTTACTATAGTTAAACAATTGATTAACTAATTTTACCTTAAGAATGCTACCCAAAAAATGATCAACAGCATGATGGGACCAATATATTGATTAGGGAAAATGTATGTCCTATTAGTAATAGCCACATTTACAACAAGCTTCATACAATCAAATTTCAGATTCAGCCTAGCTTTCACATTGAAAAAAAGTAGCTATTCACTTAAACATCCACAGAATAAATATGCATAACAGCACTAATATTATATTACTCACATGCCAGTTTAGTGCCAAAGCTACTCAAGCAAATGGCAAATGCCTGAAAGGCAGATAAAGGCTTCCTATAATCCATGGTGAAAGTATCATCCCCTACTTTCCCAAACTGGAGGAGCACCATTTCCTCATCTCCTTTCCCTCCTGGTTGGCTTTGGTCCACAGTAGCAACAAGCTGAAAGTTCTTCACCGATGCAACGGTTACGCGACCATGGAAATTCAAGCACCAGCACTGTAAATTCTCATGCCATCTTGGAGCTTTGTTCTTCAAGATCGAGTAGCCATGTTCTCTACTATACATCTTATGGCCATCTGGAGATATGCTATTTGAATTTTCTCCGGACGATGATGATGAGACGGGACACTTTAGTTGGCAGACCATCCTCCTTGGCCCTCTTGATTTCAAAAGGTTGAACTTGTAGAAGACCTGCCCCACATCGAAATTGCCTGCAGGAACTTCAGGGCTTATCTGCTTGCTGGTAAAACGACGGCTAGTCCTGCCACTTGATGGTTTTGCACCACTATGGGGTGGCTTGCTGTCATAAATCGTGAAGTTGGTGCCAAGAAAATCCGAGCTGTGAAGAGATTTCAGAAATAAGTGGTTGACACAAGAAGCAATAGATAGAGCATACATTCAGGTAAATAATTTTAAAAAAAATAAAAGTAAATTCTACATGACAGTAATTAACTTGAA